GCTCTGTCTGGCAAGTATGCTCCAGAGCTGGCCCTGAGACAGGGCATCCACACAGGACTCCTCCCAGCCCACCCAAGGCCTACAATCCATACCATCTCAAAGCTCTTGTGGTATAGCATGTCACAACACAATAGAACAAATGCCTTGTGCAGAGGGTGGCCTTTTACCGACCCCAGAAAGGCATCTACTGTGTGCCAGGCACTGTGTCAGCCTTGGGACCCAGAAAGAACAAACCCCTACACTGTCCTTGTGCTGACTTGTGCTTGGCCAGGGAAGCAGACACAAAAAATGTCAACAACCAACAATAAATAATTACAAATTGGACTAAGTGCTCTGAAGACAGGAAAGTGTAATTAGCTGATGCTTCCTCCCCCGGCCCTTGAGGCTGCCCTCATTACAGAGCACCAGCCGCCCAGGCCCTGCAGCATGCTTCGTGGTCAAGTGCCTGGCGCAGCAAGTGGAGTGACAACACTCTGAGGAACTCTTATTGAATGAAACTGGAGAAAAAAATGATCATCCAGTATAACCCAATTGTTCAGGCCCTTGGGATCCAGAGAGGTCAAGCACTTGAGCCCAAAGTACACAATGGGGGCCGGGTAGATAGCTCAGTAGAATAAGCATCTCTCTGGCAAGCACGAGGTCCTGAGTTCAGTTCCGGGTACTGCAAAAAAAAAAAAAAAAAAAAAGACAAAGTACACAACAGATATGTGGCAGAGCCCCAGAACAGAAACCAGCTCTCTCCTGTCTGCAGGTCCGGGGCTCTTGCCACCACTCATGCCTTCCTCCGCCAGTCTTAAGCCAGGTCCCAGCCCCCAGCAATTTGTAGCCTCCTGGCCCTCTCAGCTGCCTTCTTTCCAACCCAATGCTATCCAATAAGTTGTACGTGAGGACAGGATTGTCTCCTGTTTGCACCATCTGTGCAGACATGGGACACCACTGCACTGTGCAGGGACACAGAGCTGTAGGAGCTGGGCTGGGGAGACAAGAAGGGGCTGAGGAGAGATAGATGGGGGAGCTGGGGCCGGAGCAGAAGAGGGCAGCAGGGGCAAAAGATCTGGCTTTACGTTACAGCAAATCTTCCATCTCCAAAGCCATAGGGAGCCACTGAAGGACTCGCCCGGTAATGAAATGTTTTGATTGCAGCTTCCCTGAGCTTCCCAGGAAGCCACAGCTCCTCTGAGCACCTCTGACATGCCAGTAATTCCGGCTCTCGTCACTGTCACCATCCCACACAGTTTCTCACTTCACAACTCAGGATGCCACCCCAGCTTAGAAGAATCCTCCTTTTCCTCCAGGCCTTAAGTCACTGTCTCAGACACCTTCGTCAGAGTCCGCACCTTCTCTGTGCAGGTCCCCAGAGCCTGTCTGGCCTGGGAAGGAGGCCTTGTCTTTCTGTCCTTGCTGTCATCAGTTTCTTCCTCTGAGGCCTGGCCCTTTCCAAGCCTGCCCTCACCTCCCACCTCCTAGCTCTGGACCCCTAGAAATTCTTATCATCCAACCACAAGTCCTTCAAAGACCTTCAGGCCTCATTGCCAGGACTGGGCATCAGGGCAGGGCTTCCCTTCTTTGGAACAGCCCTATCACAGGGAAACCCAGAGAAAGGAGGCCAGGCATTCTCAGTCTCATCAGGGTGAGACCGCTGACCCCACTGGTGTGCATATACAGACAGACAGACAGACAGACAGACAGACAGACAGACAGACAGACAGACAGAGAATGACAGATGGACAGCAGACTCATCCAGAAGAGAGGCCCTCCATCCCAGCATGCCTTGCAGTGAGGCTGAGAGACTGCCTTGAAGATCTCAAACCCTCCCCTGGCTCACCTGCCCTGGCTCCCCAAGCCCCAAGCCTGAGCCAGGCTGGCATGTGCTCATGGGACCATTCATCCAGCAAGTATGTCTGGATGTTCTGCGTTATGAGGCCTCCCTCCCCAGGCCATGCCTCAGGCCAAATGGAGAGCTGGGCAAGGAGGAGGTACTGAAACTATGACACAGGGATGCCATTCCCATAAGGCCATGCAGCCAGCCTGTCAGGAGGTAAACCAGACGCCTCTCCTCCCCAGGGCTGAGGATGGAGGAGCCTGGCCAGAACTCTGAGCTGACCGGGCACTGAGGGACAGGCAGGCGGGGGGAAGAAGGAGGCAACACAGATGGCAGCAAACACAGGGCAGGAGGCAGGTGAAAGGGAGGGTGAGACAGCTCAGAAGTCAGGAGGAGTCACCTGGAAGAAGCAATGGGGAAAGGAGGAGGAGGAGCACACAAGAAAGCCACCCTTGGAGACTCTGGCCCTCAAGTCTCCTCCCACCCTGGCCTCTGGCCAGCCCTTCCTGCCTCCTAGGTAAGCAGAACTGTGTCCCCTCACAAGTTACAGGGGACCAGGAGCAATAGGGATGGCCTTGGGGAGGCAAGGAGGAGAGGCTGAGCGTCCTATCCCTAGACCATCTACAGACCAACAAGGATAGGCCTCCCATAATATGCGCACATGCACCCCCAGGGGGAGTTACCCAAGCTCATCCCTACCTGAAACCCCAAGCTTTGCTTGTTAGGACACTGAGAAGGGATATGGGGACTTCCCAGGTGCCTAACCACCACCACCACCCCCCCAGAGGTCACCATGTCCCTACTCCTAGCTCTCAGCAGGGCTCCAGCTTCCATGGAGTATAGAACCTCTGGGTGGGCCAGGCTCCTCCTAGGGGCCAGGAGAAGATCCTGTCAGTACTCAGTGAGGGGGGTCCTTACAGCTAGGGTCGAGGAGCCCCTGGTCAGAGTCAGTGGTCTGGATCAGAGGACCATCAAGGGGTGGAGAGAGTCATGTCTAGAGTTAGGACAGTAAGGGACCAAAGACAAATAAGGAGAAGGAGCAGGAGGCAGGGCTGGGCAGTTCTGTGGAGTTTTGTTTGTTTGGGGCTTTTTTGCTGTCATTCCTGTTTGGCAGCCAGAACTGGGCCAGCCAAAGACACCCTGAAAACTACATCCAAAGGGGACTGCAGGCCAGAGGGGAAGCAGCAAGCAGGCACCCACGTCCCTGCCCAGGAAAGGACGCCCTCCATCTCTCCAGGGAGAAGGGGGAGCTCCAAGGAAGCCATGAGGTGCTTCAGACCATGCTCAGAGGCAGAAGTCAGGAAGCAACAGCAGCTTCAGGCTGTGCCGAGGCTCTCTTGAGAGCTGGGCATCCCTCTGAAAGAGTGGGGTGAAGAGGTGGCTCCAACGGGCTGACAGCATGCAGAACCAGTCAGCCTCCTTCCTAGTCCTCTGCCCTTCCTGGGCTCCTGAACTTAGAGGGCAATGTAAGGAAAGATTAGCGTTCCTACTCCAGCTGTCTGCAGCCATGCACGGATAGCCACTCGTATACCACTGACTACTCATACACCCCCGAGGCTGGCGCAGGCCCCGTCCAAGGGACCTCTTTTGTACTTGAAGTAGTGAATTCAAACATCTCCCTCAAAAAGCAGTCACGGCAAGCACTAGGAATCACTGGGGTCGCAGCTGGCATCCAGGGGCTTGTTTTGGTGTTGACAGAAACACTCTCCCCATGAAGTGGGCGAGGTGACCAGGGTGAGGAAGGGCATGGTGTTATGTTTGCTCACATGCCATTGGGATACCAGGCCAGGCTGGGGTGGCTGCACTCACCCATGTAGGTAGGGGAGGGCACATGTGGCCTAGTGGAGGCAGACACCATCACACAAGGAGGCAAATCTCAAATGGAAAGGAAGCAAAGAGATGGAGGGGGAAGAGGGAGGGAGAAGGGGCTATGAAAAGAACTCAAATGTCTTCTGCACATGACCAACTTCCCATGATGAGTGTAATCACTGTGTACTGCAAAATAAATACTAATAAAAATTTTAAAATTTTTAGACTATCCCAGTGACCCAGTCACCTGGAAATGCCTTGCCAGTGCACCCCAACAGTGGATCTTGTGTTCCAGGATCAGGAAAGACCCGTGGTCTCAGTGCAGAGTACTGAGTCCTGGTGATGCAGGGCCCACATGTGGGCCAGAGGTCTGGACTGAGGCCCGGGGTGGGAGACGTGACTTGCAAGCCTTCCTCTCTCAGGACTCTTGTCTTCCTTCTGGTCCTAGCGAGGGCTGAGACCTCTGCCATCCCTGACTGTCGCAGTCTCTCCCAGACCCACTTTACTCTGCTGGAGGATAGTGTGGCAGGAGCTGGGAAGACACATAGAGCCAGCCACTGGAGCCATCGAGCCAGGCAGGGAGAAGGAGGCTGGCAGGAGAGGTGCCAACTCCCTAGGAGGGACCCAAGAACTAAGGGGTGCAGAAGGCCAGGTAGGGCCCTGGCTAGCGAGCCTTCTTCTGCCCTGCAAAAGTCTTACAGGGGCCCACCAGAGCCTTCTGCTTCTATTGCATGTTTAATATGAGAGAGGTGAAAGGGTAGAGAAGCAAGGGAGGGCAAATGGGAAGAGAATGTTCCTGCAGCCCTGAGGGGAGCCGCCTTGGCCTAGGCTATCTGGGCTGTGCAGGCAAGCATGCCAGGCTGCAGCTGGTGGCTTCCCAGGTCCTCTGCTAAGGGCTTTGCCCACACAGCCCATGTTTTCATCCCCACATCCCACCTAAGGACAGACATTGGGTAGCCTGCCCAAGGTCGCGCGGTGGCAGGCAGCCAAGCTGAGCCTTGAACCCAACCCCACTTTTCCACTGTTCTTCCAGCCCTGAGACAGTGGTGTGCACACATCAGGCAGGAAACCATGAGCAAAGGCAGGCAGGAAAGGGAACCTAAGCCGGGGAGACTCTTTGGCAACTAGAAAATAAATAATAAAGACGCTGTTTCTCAGTGCCAGGTTGGCACAGTGCCCAGGACTGCTCCCTGCAACCAGGAGCTCAGAGCTGTGCTCGCCTCATCTTTTCCAGAACTATGTGGGCCCAGCTACGTCAGCCTTCAGGTATGCAGGCGCTCTGCGGTGACAGGCTTCTCTCCTCTCTCTCCTTATTAAATCTGCCTTCTTCTTGCCATCTCCCACTCCCAAACCATTCAGACAGCCCAGGTTTGGTCCTCTCCCCAAGCCAAGCTGAGTTGTGGGGGCTGTGACCAGCCCTCCTGCAAGGCGGAGCCCCTGCCCGCGAAGGGACAGATGTGCGTGGTGCTGGGGGAGGGGCAGGAGCACCACATCATCTAACAGGTTGGTCGGGCTGAGAGGCGTCCCGCCCTCCCGCAGCTAATGAGCACTGTGCGACAGGTGTTTGCATCTCAGTCCCCAGCCTGCTCTGGCTGCGACAGGAGGCAGCCGCCAGCCACCGGCCTCCCCTCCAAGGCTCACTTGCTTGCCTGCTCACCGCGCCACACCAGGCCTCCCCGCTCCCAGGCCGGGGGTAGGGGCCACCATGGCCTGCAGATCCTGCGTCGTTGGCTTCAGCAGCCTCAGTGGCTGTGAGGTGACCCCGTTGGGCAGCCCCCGGCCTGGGACCTCTGGATGGAGCAGCTATGGGGCCCCAGGACCTGGCTTCAGCTCCAGAAGCCTCACAAGCTGCTGGCCATCTGGCACAGTCCCCAAGGTGACTGTGAACCCCAGCCTCCTGGAGCCCCTGGACCTCAAGGTAGACCCAGCTGTCCAGCAGCAGAAGAACCAGGAGAAGGAAGAGATGAAGGTCCTCAATGATAAATTTGTCTCCCTGATTGGCAAGGTGAGCAGAAGTGGGTGGAGGGGCGGGGTACCAACAAACGAAGGGTTGCCAGGCCTGGGCAGGAGACTGAGCACTGTAGGTCCCTGAGCACAGGGCACCGTGCTCCTCCCCTGCCTCCAGCCAATGGGGTGGCAGCCTGGCTTCCTGAGCAGGCTGACTCTGAGCCAGGGATGGAGAAGGAAGTCCTGATCCCTCCTGGAGTCAGGAGCAGAAGGTATCCATGATGGCCTCTGGGGGTCAGGTCACATGGCCTGAGGTCACCCTAGCCCCCCAGCGAGCTAGGGCAAAGCACTGAGCACTCCTAGGGAAGGCTCCCTCAGAATGGCTTGTGGAGGAGTGGCATTCAGTCCTGCCGCAGGGCCGGTGTACAGTGGAGGGGGCCATGCAGGGTCCCCCCTCCTGCCCATCCCACAAGCTTCCAGCCCCACTATGCCTCTCTCAAGGCAGCTTGCTCAGCTCTCATCAGAAGAGCCAGCAGGGCCTAGGTGGTGGGGGGCTGCTGCCAGGGCAGTGGCAAGTTGTGGGTCCATGCGGTTTGGGCATGTCAGGACACAGGAATGCAGGGAACAGATACCTAGAGTCAGAACCACGCAGCCTGCTGTACCCGCCTGAGTAGAGGAGGCAAGTCCCTGGCATCTGCAGCCCCCAAGCTTCTTGACTCCACTGCCCACAGCCTGCAGCTGGTCTGCTGCCCTGGCATCCACCTCTATCCTCAGGCAAGGGAGCTCCCAACAAAGTCCTGTCCACCTCCCCAGCTGGCTTCTACGCACCCCTCTGAGAAACCTCCACTCAGCCCTGTCGTGGACTCCCTCCTGATCTGCCCGAGAATAGCCCATCCTGATAGGAATCCTCTTCATAGCTAATTGTTTACTTCATGCTGGGCACTGCGCTGGATGCTCTGCATATCTATCTCTACTTCCTTTGACTACTTGTACGAAAGAAGACATTTGTGCCCATTTTACAGAGAAGGAAAACTTTGCCTTCCTGACCCTCCTAGTAAACAGGGCCAGCCTCCTGCCCAGACTCCACCACTATCTGTTACTTGGTCTCCTCCTCGGTGCTGGTTGCCCCATGGATTGGGAGCCCACAGAGAGCAGCAGGGAAGTAGGGCATGTGGAGCAGCTGTCTGTGTCTGAGGGCCTGGGGGCCACCTCCCTGTGCCTATCCTGAAGGCCGATGACAAGAACTTGTGCCTCCCCAGCATTGGCGTCCCCTTGAGTAGAGGAGGACTGAACAGCTTAAGCTCCTTGCCTAGGACCACACAACCAGCACATGTCCCATTTAGATTTGAGCTCAGGTCCGTGAAGCATAAAACCCACATCCTCAGAGGTGGAGACCATTTCTTTCTTCCCCCACTCACAAGTCTGGGCCAGGGTTTCCCACGCACACGTGCAGGCCCCAGGGAGGAGTCTGGAGGGGAGGATGCAGCCTACAGAAGCAGGCATCTCTTCCCTAGCCTGCCACACAGCCTGCTGTTGGGCTGCTTTGCTGGGGGAAACAGGGCCCTGCCAGGCACCTCCTCACCAAAGCCGGCTTACTCCCTTAAAAGGAAGGCTGCACTCTGCTCTGTGAATTGGCTCGGATGCGTGGCTTTTCTCCCTTGAACGCCAGTGCTGATGTCACCCTGAGCCTCCGTGTGGGGACAGGGTGGGACCAGGGTGGGAACAGGTGGGTGTGGGCACAGGGAGGGGGCCTCAAGGTTTGGATCCTGTGCCCTGGGCCAGTGACCGTCTTTAGCTATCTTAGAGCCTCCAGTCCTCAATCTTGGTTCTAAAGTAGGGTGCCTTTTGTGGTGGGATGCAGGAAGCTGGGGGCTGAGGGCCCTGGTTGCTCCACCCTACCCCACCCCCAGAAGCCCTGTCTCCTGTGAGAAGCGAAAGCTGGCAGTGGCTCAGAGAGTGAAACCGGGAACACCATTAATGGATTTAATCCCGGCTCCAGCTGTGCAATCAGGCAAATGACTTACTCTCTGTGCCTCGTGCACACTGATATAATGGGCCCATCGATTAAGTGGGACGAGCTTTGAAAAGCAGTTAGAACATACCTAGTGTGTGATACCTGTTTTATAGCTGATAATGAGAAGTAAAGTTAAAGGGCCTGGCCCCACTTGCTCGGGAACCCAGCTAATCCCTTGGGAGAGGGGCCAGGCCAGTGGGGAGGGAGGTGCCCTGCTGGGGCACAGGGCAGGAGGGGCCAGGCCAGTGGGGTGGGAGGTGCCCTGCTGGGGCACAGGGCAGGAACTTGGTGTGTAGGATCTGTGTGGAGCTGAAAGGTGGTGGGGAGGCCTGGGAGAAGATCCAGTACAGTCTAGGAGCTTTGAGCAGAAAGGAGAACAAGGGTGCACCATCCACACTCTCTTCCTGGCCCTATAAGGGGCGGGGGGCACTTCCAGGAGCTGGCAGTGCTGTTCCTCCTACTTTGGTTGTGTTTCCTTGGATGAGCCACTTCTCCCTGCTGTGCCTCAGATTCTGTGGGGTCCCTGAGTTCCTGCTCAGGGAAAGCCTGTCCAGGCCATGGCCATGAGATGAGGATGGAGGAGTGGCAGCAGGAAGGTGGGGGGCGCAGGGAAGGCAGTGCCTGCATCCCACAGGGGCTGCTGGCTGAGACTCTCATCTTCATCTGCAAACAGCAGAGCCCATGGAGGTGGGCAAGAGGAAGGCTCGTCCACGGTCAGCCTGAGAGGCTGTAGGAGAGGCCCCCACAAAGCAGCACCCAAGGCCCAGGCACAGAGGTGGGGATCACGTCTTTCCCTAGGATGAGTGACTTCAGAGTTGTCTGTCTGCCTGGATGCAAGACAGATGAGCCCTTCCTGAAGAAGTGACTGTGGTCCTTGGTGAAGGCAAGAGATCTGACCAGGGCCTGCCTGGCCCAAAGGACTGCCAGGCCGGCTCAAGAAGCACAGCCTCCAAGACCTCAACCCATCTCCCCCAAGATGCTACCCAACTCTAGCCAGCAGCTCCAGCTTGAGTGACTCAGATCCCCTCCCCGCCAAAAAAAAAAAAAAAAAAATCATACCTCTCTCTGAACCCTCTACCCAAGCCTAGTCTAGGACCACGGAGTTGGGCTGCATTGAGTTCTGGGCCTGTGGGCCTCAAGCTCCTCATCTTTAAAAATAGAGGCAGGTAGACCCCTCCTGGAGTTGCCACCACATGACCTCAGGATGGGGGCCAGCCAGAGCAGAGAGGAAGGCTGGCATCCCTGATGAGTTGGGGGTCGGCACTTTGAGGGTTGTTTGAATTGTCAGCCCTCCTGGGCCTTTATTACAAGAGAGAAGAGCCTGACAGAAAGAAGAGCCACGCTGGGGGATGAGCCTCCACCTCCACCACTGAGACAAGAGCCTCCTGCAAGGAAGAGGACACAGAAGGCTCCCCCCTGACTCCCCACAACCAACTAGCACTGGAGCACAGAGCACTGAGGCTCCACTGAGGGAAGAAATTCCCGGTGTGAAGGTTTCTCTGTTGCTCGTGGGTGGAGGAAGTAGTCTCACATCTCTCCTGTCACCCCACCCTTAGTGTAAACACTTGGCTCCTGTTTGTCAAAACTGAGAGAAGGTGGGGTGAGCAAATGCCTCCCCCCCAACACTCCCTCTCACACACACAAAGCAGGCAGACACCCTCTTGACCTCCGTCCCCACTGAACCTGTTTGGCTGTGACTAGAGTAGGTGGCAGGCTTAAGGCAGCTTCAAGAAGAACTTACCAGTGCAGGTGGATGGGAAGTGAGCAGAGAAGTGACAGTTGACAAATGTCACTGTCAACTGCCAGGAACCAGCACGCCTACTGGGCTTGCCTACTGTGAATGTCAATAGAGGCTTCCCAAGTTCATCAGAGGATCTTGGGAGAGAAAGGAAAATGTGGGTGTAGACGGGACAGTGAGTGGGGAGGGAGAGGGACTCATGGTGATCAGTGTGGGCCACAGCTGTTGGGGGGCCTGTCTGGAAAGCATGACCACTGTATACTGTGTGACCCTGGACAAGTCACCTTACTCCATGCCCCAAGGTCTCCGCAGGCTCCAGAGCAGCAGAACCCCAGGGCTTCTGGAAGCTCTCAGGCTGTGGTTCTGGAGCTGGTGCCAGCTCCAGTTCAGATGGTTGCAGTCATTAGAAGCATCACAACTGATCACAGCGTCCTCATGACAAAAATAGCCCAACTGTCCAGTAACAGGACCAGCCATGCTTTAATCACCTATCTACATCCTGGGCTCCAAGATTAGAGACCCCACGAATGGAGCTGGTAGCTCTCCAGTCTACAGGGAGGGAGGCTGGTAACCAGGACAGAAGAGAAGCAGAGCACTGAGGGTCTTGATGCTGGAGGGAAGGAGGAGTCTTTTGAGCTGAGTCATGGAGGGCTTCTTGCAGGAGGGTTGCTGGTGTACACATGAGGAGGAGGAGGAGGGCAGGCAGGGCTGGCCATGGAGGGGAGGACAATACCCAAGGCAGGCTGCATACTGGGGAGGCCAGGCAGACCCAGGCCACATCAGACTGGCCTTGGTAGGAGAGAAGGGAGCTAAGAGAGATCCTGCATGGCACAGATCAGCATGGTTGCCTGGGCTGCAGTCCATGGGCCATAGGAGCCCTGGTGGAAACCCCAGAGTGAGGCATATGATTCGAGGGGCCTTAGGACTCAGAGCCCTTAGGTCTTCATCTCCCAGGCAAACCTGTCCAGAGCTGCAGGAAGGAGCCAGCTCAACAAGGGCAGCTGGGGTCTCTGGCCCAGAGTAACCCAGGAAACACCTAGGGGACATATGCTGTTGTGGTTAAGAAATTCTCAATACAAACTGCTTGGATTCCAGGCCTGGCTCTGCAACTTGCTAATGTCATGACCTTGGGCAATTCTTTCCCTTCTCTATGCCTGATTCCCTCACCTGTAAAATGTGCTGATAATACCTATGCTGTGGGCTGTTGCAAGCAGCCATCTAATGAGTTAAAGATGGCAAGCATTCAGAAACTGGCCTGGCACACAGTAGGTGCCACATAAGCATTATTACTGTTCTGAGTCCATCACAGGGTCTACCCCCAGTAGCCCTCAAAGGCAAGCAGATGAAATCATCCCCAATTTCTAGCTGGGGAAATTGAAGCTCCAAGGGCCTGCAGCTATGGGGTGGTTGAGATTAGCACTGAAGACCTAAGCAGACCCTGTCTTTGTCCTTCAAAGACAAGACCAGGCTTGCCTTGGAGGAGGGGTAGATGGGTCTCTGACACTGCATGTTCTCAGGGGTCTCCCAGGCCAGCCCCAGATGGGCTTGGACAGGCACTCGAATTGTGGGTACTATCACACCTTAGCCACCTCCCTCAGCCAACGCCCCGACAAGCCTTGGCTAATTGGCCCCACCTCCATCTCCTCCTTATCTCAGCATCTTCCACTTGAATAATCAGTAACAGGAGGTTCCCTGCTCTCAATGCCAGAGTGAGGCCCAGGTGGAGGTGTGCAAATGAGCAGCCACGTCCCAGGGAGCCCGCCACACGGGCATCCCGGCTCGCCCAGCGCTGGCCCATTCAGTGCCCTCCTGCTCTCGCAGGTACAAGCCCTGGAACAGCGCAACCAGCTGCTGGAGACTCGCTGGAGCTTCCTGCAGGGCCAGGACTCAGCCCCCTTCGACCTTGGGCACCACTATGAGGAGTACCAGGGCCGGCTGCAGGAGGAACTGCGCAAAGTGAGCCAGGAGAGGGGACAGCTCGAGGCCAATCTGCTGCAAGTGCTGGAAAAGGTGGAAGAGTTTCGAATCAAGTAGGTGGCTTCCTATGGGGCCCGTGGGCAAGGGTGGGAAGCAGGCTGTACTCTGGTGGGACACACTCCAGGCAGAGGAAGGAGCAAGAAGTTATGGAACATCGGTCCTCTGGAGACATTTACTGAGGGCCTCATATGTGCCAGGTGCCACTCTAAATACCAGGGATGTGGCAGGGAATCTATAGCTGCCACCCTCCCCCAGTAGTTTACAATATAGTCAATCTTGTGCTAGCCCTTGGACACCCCCACAACCCTGTTAAGTGGCCCCACTGTGGTGCTACAAACATGGCTGCTTGTACCCACACTGCACTGGCATGGGACATTATGTCATTACTAGAATGACAGATGGGTTTATGCTCTGAATATGGCTTTGGATCTTGACTTCAATTGGCTGCTAAGGAGAGGGAGGCACCCAGTACAGGCAGGGGACAGAAAGGGTAGGTTTTATTTGACTAAAGAAGCAAAACCCTGTAGGTAATATGTGTAGGGCACTGAGGGATCTACAAGGAAAACACAGCCTCCACATACAAAATATGTTCACACCGTAGTGGGACATGCAGGCCGGGAATCAGCGCATAAGCAGAGCAGCCTGATGATTACGGGCCAGGCCTGGGCACCAGACTCCGAGAGGGTTTGGCCTTCCCCACCACCATCGCTCTCACTAGCTCCTGTGTGAAATGGGAATGGTGGTGACTGATAGCAGTCTCAGGAGGTAGGGGAGGAGGAAGACGAGACTCCGGCACGATGCCTAGCGTTAATAAAAGGCAGCTTTCCCATCCCCAAGAAGGATGAAATTCCCAGTACACAGTGAGTCTTGGATATGGACTTACTGAGCTGCACTGGCCTTTGGGTAGCGCAGGAAAGAGGTGAACCCCTCTGTCAGGCAGTGGGCAGGGCTCCGGGACACTGAGGCAGAGCAAGGGAGAGGGGATACCCTTGTGTACCCCTCTTTGGGTCTGGGCTCAGCCATAGCAAGGGGAGAATGGAGCAGGTTGAATGCCCCATCTCCCCTTCTGCAGGGCACAGCAGCCCAAGCCCTGTCAGTAAGAGGAAGCCACCATTCTCCAGAGCAGCCAGCCAAGCAGCCTGTCTGGGAATCCAGGCATCTGGCCTGTGGCTCAGCTTTTCCACTATTTCCTCTGAGCTCTGCCCTCCCAAGCCCTAGGAAACACAGGTCTGACTGCTCACTCAGAAACCACCCTCCCCCCACAGCTTCTTAACAGCAGACCAAAGTCAGATCAATTCATCAGAACCCTTGGCCTATGTCACTAGCTCCTAGTCAAGTTGGGATCAGAGAATGGCTGAATGGTCCTACTTCCATAGAAAGCACAGGCCCAGATAGGGCAGGTCTTTTTCCTGGGCACACAGCTATGCAAGAGGCTGTGGCTAAAGACCCCCTCAGCCAGCCTAGCCAGATTGTGCCCACAGGAGCCCTGCAGAGCTGAAGTCCTGAGCAACCCCTGTTCAGTATTTCCCTGTCTCAGCCCCGTCTGCTCTGCTGTCTGACCTGATGCCTTAGATCAGGATGTCTCTCCCACTCTGCATAGGAAACCCACCTCAGCAGGGGCAAGAGAGTCTGTGGATCTGCCAGCCAAAGCTAGGGAACACAGCCTGGTTGTGCACAGCCTGGGGCCCAGGGAAAGGCGGGTGGAACCCTGACAGGGCGGAGCTGGTGCCATGCCTCTGCAAGGCGATGAGATCAGCCTCAGCTCCAGGAATAAACAACTTACAGCAGAGGGGAACAGGTGTGACGATCTAAAACAGGCTTAAGGATGGGTGTGAGAGCTGCTGATTGGTAGACTGGCAGAGAGTTGGGCTAACTGGGAGACAAGCTGTCTCCTAAAGCCTCAGTGGAAATGGGGGCTCCCAAGGGCTGGGAGGTAGCAGGGGCCCCAAGGATTAGCTAGATTAACTCTTCTACCACTGAGCACAAAACAAAGGCCCAGCAGTGGAAACAACTTACCATGTGGCACAGCAAGTGACTCTGGGAGATGCTGGACCACACTGCTGATGGGTGAGCCAACACCCAGAGTGATTGTGACTGAGGTACAGCAAAGCAGCACGTTGTATGGCCAGAGCAAGGGACAAACCCCTGAGGAAGGGACTCACTCAGAGGTCAGGGTAGACAGCAGGGTGTGTGTAGCTTGAGCCCTGGCAGTGGCCAGAGCCCTGGCAGTGGCCAGAGCCCTCCTTACCACCCTCACCTGAAATACCAGGGCCAGGACAGACCCACCCTGGATATGAAGCCACAAAGGCTCTTCCAGGCCCATACTCCCAGCATCCTTCTCTGCTGGAGGGGTGAGGGGATTTCCTTCTATATCCACTGCATACATTCCTTGAAGCCCTGGAGGGTTTCTCTCAAGTGGCAACTCAAGTTCTCCAGCAAAGGACACATTTGAGGGGTGGGAAACTCTGAGGGGGCTCATCATCTCCAACCTAAAGCCTTCAGCTAAGGGTTTTCAGAAGACAAAGCTCATATGAAGTTAGGGAGCAGGCCCCAAGCAACCAGAATTACTCAGTGTTGGTCAGAGACAGGGTTATAAGACCTCAGCCCAGGAGGAAGGAAGAGAAGTAACAGAGGGTGGGAAGGACAGCGGGTTGTAAGGAGGGTTCTAGGCACCGGGTCCCCCACAGGCTGCTCTCTCCAGCTTCAGCCTACCAGCTGGCAGGACTGTGCTACCCCAAGAGGGCAGGGCTCAACCACCTACCTGCATGTGAAGGGTGAGGGGCTCCCCAGCCCCTGCCCCATCCCCAGGGCAGGGTGTTCCTCAGAGCCCCCCAAGTCCCAGGAGGAAGCTGTACAAGTCAGCCCAGCCCTGAGGATTGGTGAGGGATGTGCAGCAGCCACCCAGCTGCCACAGGCTTCTCTCCAAGAATACTAGAGGACAGGGTGGAGGCTGTCAGGCCCTGTAATAAACACCTTATATATTAACCCATTTGGTCCTCAAGACAAGGCCGTTATCACACCTCTGCCCCCACACACAGCTAGTCAGCAAGGAAGCACAATTTGATGCTCTGCTGGGCCAACAGAGCTCAAGTGCCTCTGGCCCTTCTCCAAGCAGTTTCCTCCGCTGTCAAATGGGACTCCCAGACCTCCCAGCTGGAGGTTCTGACGATCACAGGATAGGTATAGGGCATGCCCAGCCTAGGGCCGAGGGTGGCCCATAGCACCTGTGACAGGCCATTGCATTCTCCCTGGTCTGTTCCTCTGCTCAGCACTGGTACCCCACATCCTCAGAGCCTCTCTCAGATCTTGGAGCCCAAGGCATGGCCAGGGACCACATCTGAACTCACACCCTGAGATTCAGAGATCATGTGCCCTGGGGGTCCTGACCACCTTTAGGCCCACCCCCTCCCAGCTCTTCTGTTGTACTGGGAGACAAGAAGACACAGGGCTGGCCAGTAGCATGGTAGCCATGGGTGCCACCATTCCTGCTGTGCGGTCAGGAACTAGGCAAGTGGGTGGCTCCCCTGAGAGCCACCAGTGATCCACACACTCTCTGGAGAGGAGGACCCAGAAGCCACAGAACCCCATGTACACTGGGGCCAACAAAGGCTGGAGAGAGAAGGGAGTATGAAGCTGGAGGGTGCCCAGCTGGCCATGGAGCCAAGACAAAGTCTAGCTGGAAGAAAAGGATAGGGTCAGGGATCCAAGGGTCCTACCCCGCCTCTAACAGTGTCCTTATTGCAAGCACAAAGTGGCCTTGATGAGGAAGGAGGCCAACCTAGGAAGAGATTTGGGGCACCCCCTGGAGTACGGACTGCACACCATGTACCCAGCTGTGGAAGCCGGGAGGGGCTTTGTCACCTTCTGCACACATACATCCCTGGGCGTCTCGGGCCCAGTACACTTGTGAGGAAGCCAACAGATAAGGAATGAAATTACCCTCCACCAACTCTGGTCACTCTGGACAGGGATGGCACAGCGGGGTGGGGCTGTGGGAGAGGGATGTAGGAACAGGATGCTGGGGAGGACCCAAGGCAGAGAAGCGAGGAAATCACCACAGACCAGGTCAAAGAGCTGGATGAGGTGGTGCAGCCAAGCAAAGAAGAAGAAACCCAGGCAGTCCTCAGGAGGAAGGGAGAGAACAGGAGCCAAGTGCAAGGAGTCGGGGACGTATCATGGAAGACAACCCCTCTCTCTTGTAGGCATAGGGGATAGAGTGGGACAGCAGAGGCCCAGAGTCCCATCCAAAGAGAATGACCCACACCCCAGCTCTCACCATGTCCAGTTGAGCCATCTCTTCTCCTCCCCACCCAGGTATGAGGATGAGATCTCTAAACGCACGGACCTGGAGTTCACGTTCGTGCAACTGAAAAAGGTAGGCTGCCCACACCCGGCGCCCCCCTCCTGCCCCAACCTCCTTTCCTTCAGGCTTGCCCAGTTTCCTTTCTGCCCACGTGAAACCTCCAACATTTAAGGACCAACAGGCAGACGGCAATGCCTCTGCCCACATCATGCTCCTTCCCCAGGATCTTAGTGCCCCTCACTCTCCTTCCCTGGGACCCCACCACTTCCTCTCTCTATTTCTCACTGATGTTACCAACACCAGGATCTGGACACTGAGTGCCTTCGCCGGACCGAACTGGAAACCAAGTTAAAAGGCCTGCAGAGCTTCTTGGAGCTGATGAAAACCATCTACGAGCAGGTAAGCAAGGTGGAGCAGGGTCTCCTCTGTGGGCAGGGCACCCTGACGTGGTGAAGGAAAACAGTCTGAGGGTATGGATCCTTCAGCGACACTCATTCCACAGAATACAGGCAGCTCCCCAAAGCCACAGCTCTCTGAGAGAGCCGTGTATGTGTTAGTGTGTGCTGGGGTACTGAGGGCGTGCAGGAGACAAGGTGTGTCAGGCAAGGATTAGGAGGCCAACCCTAGCCCAGAAGCCCTGCACACCTGTCCGGATGGAGCTGGCCTTGCTGAGCCATGCCACCTCAAGCATAGATGCACGCAGCTCCAGGTCTGCTGGGCAAGCTTCTCCCCGTCCCTGCTTTGGTTCTAGCTCCCAGACAATGTTAGCTTCTAACAAAGTGACCCAGGACACACAGACAGAGGAGCCCGCAGAGCACAGTCTTGTTTGTCTCCTAAGTCCTTTTTTTGATCCTGGGTACACAGTGACCAGCAGGGCCTACTGTGTGGCCCTCACAGTCATCAGAAGGGCTCTGGACGCTGCTCCTGCACTGCACTGCTCCCTTCTGGGCACTGAGCAAGATGAGCCTCCTCCTTTCTACACTCTCAGAGACGAGGGGTCCAAAGAGGCTCTTATGTCTTCTGTTTAACTCAGAATAGGCAGAATTATGCAAATTATGCATGCTGAAAACTGCTGGTGCCGAGCAGCCAAGTTCAGTCACCACATGGTAAAAAGTGACCCCAGTGTTACAGCCTCATCCTGTGGGAGGAAGACCAGATTAGGTGGCTGTGTACAGCCACACTCCTCACAAGCAAGCTCAGCCTTTCTGGGGCCCCAGAGGTGCTGAGACCTGTCTGCAGCCACGGGGTGGCTTAGCAGACGTAGCATTGCCTGCCCAGGCAGGACACCCACACCTGCAGCCCTGAAAAGTGCCCTGTCCAGCAAGGCCGAGCTCGGAGGACTCTTCAGGTCTCCCGGCCCACAGGCTGGCTGAAGTGGGCTAGGGGCTCCCCTGCCCACACTCTCCATGCCGCCACCATGGGGCAGCGCTCCGCTCCCCCAGCATCTCAGCACACTCAGAGCTTCAGCTCTAAGCCAGGATGGGGGCCTTGCAGTTGTAGACAGCAGCCAGAAGACTCTGAAACCTGTACCCCAAGGCAGGCCTTGCCAGGGTTGTGCTCACAAAATTGCTTGGCCCTTTCTTAGTAGCCAGCCCCATGGACTCCATCTGGAGGCCCTTTCTGCTGCTTTGGGCAAGCCATGTCTCCCCCCGTGCCTCATTTTCCTTGTCTGCAAAATGGAGAGACTTTGCAGGAGAATCATGGTACCAGCCTGGGAGGCCTGTGCTGCAGACTAAGCCCATTCCTGCACTGAAAAGTGTTTTCCACGTGCTAACGAGTTGCCAGGCACTGTGAACCCAGGAGGAGCAAGACAATGTAGTCACCCTCTCCAGCAGGGCAGGGTTTAACTAGGAGGACACAGGTAAGAAGCACATGAACAGCTTCTAGAGGAGATTGCTCAGGAGGATGATTACTGCTGGAGGGCAAAGAGGTGATCTGATGGTGCTGCAGGAAGGGGACAGCTTCTGAGCCCTGTTGCGGGGGGCTTTCCAGGGAGGTGCAAGGGCAGAGCAGGCATGGGGACAGTCTGCCCGTAGGAAGAGCTGTACAAAACCTTGAAGTCAGGGGCACACTTGGGGACTAAAGGGAAACAAGGAAGCTGCTATGTTCAGAGCAGCCAGGGCAAGAGGAGCCTTGGGTCAGGAAGAACTGGAGGGTGGGCACATGCCTGGCCTTGGGCTTGGCAAGTTTGACCTTAGCCAAGCATAAGGTTGACACAGGTACAGAGTGTGGGGGTACATGGGGATCCTGATCAGGCTGGTAGTACCTTATAAGACTACTGTGGAGCTGAGAATGGTGGAACACACTTGTTTTTGTTGTTGTTGTTTTGTTTTGTTTTTTGTTTTTGGTTTGCTTTGCTTTGCTTTGCTTTGGTTTTTGGTGGAACCGGGGATTGAACTCAGGCCCTTGGGCTTGCCAGACAAGTGCTTATTCTACTGAGCTATCTCCCCAGCCCGGTGGAGCATACCTGTGACCCCAGCACTCAGGAGGCTGAGGCAGGAGGATCACAGTGAGTTCGAGGCCAGCTTGGGCTACATACTGAGTTCAAGGCCAGCATGAACGGCAGTGATGGGACTAGGTGCATTACAGTTGTCCCTCAGTATCCTCAGAAAGTGGGCCCACAAATCCTGCCTGCAGAGACCAAAATCCTTTAATGCTTGATTGGTGTATAACCTATACATAGTCTCCCATCTACATTTTTCTCCAGTACTGAGGGTCACACCCAAAGCTGTCACACTGAGCTGCATCCTCATCCTCCCCTTTTGTTTCTGCCAAGCTGGGTCTCACCAGTTCCCGAGGCTGGGCTTGAACTTTTAATCCTCTTGCCTTGGCCTCCAGAGTAGCTGGGCTGCAGGCATGTACCACAGTGCCCTCCTGTAGACTTTAAATCACCCCTACATTATTTATAATCCCTAATAGTGTGTGAATGCTATATAAATAGTAGTTACTATTCTGTATTGTCTTAGGAAATAATGATAAGGAAAAAGTCTGTACGTGTTCAGTACAGATCCAAGGTTTTTCCCGTCCATGGTGAGCTGAATCCTCCAGCATGGAGCCCATGGGTACAGAGCAGAAGCTGGGTGGCATCTATTGTTCCTTTTGGAGCAGCAAGGGGGCAATTGACAGTGGAAAGCGAGTTTTGTGTTTCTTTCCAGGCTTTTTGCTGAAAAGACTCCCCACAGCATTGGTTTGCCAAGCAGCCCTAATACAATATGAGTCACATTTTTTATTTTAAATTTTCTAGTAGCCACATTTTTTTAAAAAAGCAATTTTGATAATATAGTTTATTTAGCCCAATATATGCAAAATATAGGTATTTCGACATGATTAACATAAAAAAAAGAATAGCCTATTTTGCATTCTTCTGCTTTTTGTTTGTTTGTTTCTCTCATGCTAAATCTTCAAAATCAGGCTTTGATGTGGTTTATCTCAGTTTAGACTAGTCTCAAATGACAAGTGCCCACCTCCCAGGTCAGAGCAGGTTCAAGCAAACAGGGAGGCCGCTGCACTTCCACCAGGGCTACCACGGGTGGAAGAAAACATGGGGAACGTGCGAAGCCTCCGGAGGTTCACAAACTAGTTTCAACTTTAGATCCGACTAGAAAAGCGCTGCTCTGTGGGTTCATTCTGCACCCCAGGACGCAGCACCTCTCTCCCCGACACCCACGTACACACGCAGGCTGGGATCCCCACAGAGCCTTCCCAGCCGGCCTGGCAGGACCCAGGCCGTGGTCTTCCCAGGCCTTCATCTGCACACTGCAGCCAGCCTTCTCAGGAACCACCCCCGACCCGGCGCCCTGGGACACAGGCCCACTGCAGGGAGCCCAGCTCCCTGGCACAAATGGGACCTGGATGCATTTGGCCTGAATGCCACCTGCCCTACCCGTGACCCCTGGTTCCAGGGAGATTAGTTGTGGAATCTGCTGACAACGTGTGCAGCCAGGCACACCTCCTGGGAGCTGATCCCTTCCAGAGAAGCAGTGGCTGCCTCAGCAGCTTTGGAAGGGAAAGGCCACTCCCCGGGAGTAGGCTGCTCTGCCCCGGGGCACTTCACCCCAGCTCTTCACTTTTATCAGTTACAGTAGTGTTCTTAGCCAGTGTTTATTGGGTACCTACTACATCCCAAGCACTGTGCTCCATGCTTTCCTGACTTAATCTCACTTAATCTCCTTAACAAACTATGAATTAAGGCTAGCAATTAAAGAGAGCAGCTTGGATTTGAATGTAACCAGATGAACAGGGAAACCTCCCTGCCTCAATTTCCCCATCTGCAAAATGAGAATGATAACAATACTTCTCCAGGCTGTTGTGAGGGTTTTTTAAAAAATAAATCCTAAAGCACTTAGAACAGCATCTGGCACTGAGGATGCAGTCAATAAACATTACCAATTTTCAGTCATATGATAATACCCATTGCACAGATGGGAAAACTAAGGTTCAGAAGGTTTTACAAACTCGACCAGGGTTACTTAATACGAGATGAGGCAAGTCATGGCATAGTGCCCGTGAGCTCTGCATTTTACTAAGCAACACTGTTACCCCACAGGAGTTACTGTCTACCCTGCCAGGAGGTACTGAAGGAGGGCAGTCACACACAGCAGCCTCCTTACACAGAGTACCAAAGAAAGCCTAAAGTGTACCACAGCCTAATTCTTGCCAACTTGTGGATGCTGGCACTCACCCCAAGGTGGCCTTTCTGGTGCCAGGGAGATGGCTCAGTAAAATAAGTGCTCGCCTGGCAAGCAAAAGGGCCTGAGTTCAACCCCTGGCTTGGTCAAAAAAAAAAAAAAAAAAAAAAGGAAAGTTAGATGCCCAAGGTGGCCTTTCTGTATCACAATCAAGCATTGTTACGCACTCTCCTCCTGAGAGGGCAGCGAGCCTGGGCAGGTCCTTAGATGTTCTCAGTTCTCCATCTCCTGCTTCTGTTTTCCATGCTCCTGCCTAGTTTGCCTCTTTCCAGAAAGAGTCTGAGGCAGCCCATCAACTAGGTTTCGCAGATCCCTTCACCCCTGTGGCTCCGCTTGGCAGTGCCCTGCCTTTCCTGGGCTGTATCAAATGCCAAATCCCCAGCCAGGACAGAAGTGCCACTGGGGGCTCGCCAGGACACCCCACATACTCACTGGTCTCTAGGACCACAGAAGTGGGAGGGCAAGATGTGAGGCTGTGTGAGGCGTGCAGGAGAAGCAGCGCACTTTCTAGCGCGCTCTGGGGACAGGGATGAGAAGATGCCGCTGCTGTACTTGAGAGCAAGCTCCCCAGCTAGAGGGCAACCTGGGGTGAACCTCAGAGCAGAGCAGGACCTCAGCCTCACACGGTCTATACCCACTTCAGTGAGGCAGGGCCGGGGGTGTCGGCATGCCAGCCTCAAGCCCACCCTGCTCCTCAATGGCAACATGTATTCCAAATGAGGACTACCCAGCCGGGTGTGGGTTCAGAGGTGTGCGTGACTCGGCCAGGCCCTGGGGGAGCTCCCATCTAGCGGGGAACACAAGCCAGCTTCCTGCGGCCCAGCCCTGCTGCCAGCATGGTAGGGAAGTTGGGGCAGGGTTAGGTGCATGGAGTGGGTCTCTGGAGCTGCCCCTCCCTACCACCCTCACCCTGATCAAAGAAGCAGGAAAATGGCCAGGTGAGTGAGGGCAGTGAGCCATCCCTTGGAGTTCTAATGGTGAAAGTTGGAGGAAGAAGGGAAGGTGGGAGCAGGCCCCTCTCTCTGCTCTAGGGATGGAGACGAGAGGGGTGGCTGGGGGCCCTCGTGCCCTCTCCACCAGCACTGAGTCCTCACATCTGTGCCTATCCAGGAGCTGAAGGATCTGGAAGCCCAAGTGAAGGAACTGTCAGTGACTGTCGGCATGGACAGCCGCTGCCACATTGACCTGAGTGGCATCGTGGAGGAAGTGAAGGCCCAGTATGATGCCATTGCAGCCCGCAGCCTAGAGGAGGCCGAGGCCTACTCGCGGAGCCAGGTGAGGCCTCAGTGTGCAGGCCAGGGCGACTCTCAGCGGGCCACAGGAAGGTGGTGCAAGAGGCAGCTGCCTCAGGGTGGCTTCCCTGTCCCGAGACCCTCAGGGGTGGGAGCAGGGCAGTGAGGACAGACAGGCACAGAAAGTGGGAGCCCAGCCTCTGCCAGGGTAGGGGGAAAGAAGGAAGCTGCAGTGTACACCCTCCGGAAGATCAGAGTCCACCCCTCCTACCAGGGCTCACCTGGGTGCCCACCCCCCAGGACTAGTGGGGAAGAGCGAGGTGGCAAAGTGGTAGGCTGCAGAGGTAGAGACAGGCCTGAGGGCTGAGAGAAACCAGCCATGGGCCAGGGGTGTGACTGCCTCCTTCCCTGGGCAGCTGGAGGAGCGAGCCGCTCGCTCAGCCGAATATGGGAGCTGCCTCCAGAACAACCGCTGCGAGATTGCCGACCTCAACGTGCGCATCCAGAAGCTCCGGTCCCAGATCGTCTCTGTCAAGAGCCACGTGAGTGTCTGCAGGACCCACGGGGGCAGGGGTGAAGGGAAGCACTCAGGCTCACACTCAGGCTCACACTCGTGCACGCTGGGTGCACATCAGACCTGACAGAGAGGCCCTGAGCGGGCCACAGGGCCTCTGTGCCTCAGTCTCCTTACCCTTCACAGAGGAATGTAGCCCAGCCTGCTTAGGCAGTGTGAGGATCACCTGAGCACTGTATGCTGGCCAAGCTGCATGACAACAGAGAGAGAGAGAGAGAGAGAGCACCCCTTCACGTACACCCCATCAACTCCCTCCTACCTGACCCCAGCCCTACTGAGAAAGCAATGGAGGCCCGAGTCCCAGGCTGCCCTGGGCACGGCTGGGGCAGCCTCCTCTAGTGACTGCAGTGCTTCACTCTGGCAAGGACAGGGTCTCTTCAGGTCCAGCCAAGTTCTTATTGCGTTGCACCCAGGATGCACCAGCAATGCCACTGCATAGCCCTCATAGCACCAGTGACAGTGGTGGCTGCTGGCCACGGCCTGCTCCCTGACTCACCACCTCCTTCCCTCTGCCTGGCGGGCTGCAGTGCCTCAAGCTGGAGGAGAACATCAAGGCAGCTGAGGAGCAGGGCGAGCTCGCCTTCCAGGATGCCAAAGCCAAGCTGGCCCAGCTGGAGGAGGCCCTGCAGCAGGCCAAGCAGGACATGGCCCGGCAGCTGCGCGAGTACCAGGAGCTCATGAACGTCAAGCTGGCGCTGGACATCGAGATCGCCACCTACCGCAAGCTTGTGGAGGGCGAGGAGAGCAGGTGAGGGGCTGGACAGGCTGGGTGGGGCTGCGAAGAGGGAGGGCTGGGGGCCTCGGCCCACACAAGGCCAGCCTCCTTTCCAGCGCGACGACATGCAGTGGACCTGGCATGGCCTCGTTCCAGGCCTGGTTCAGCATTTCCTGAGCTCTTGCCCTAATTCATTAAACCCTCAGTTTCCCCTCTGAAGAGAAGACTGACAAAAACAGGGTTTATCTGTTGTGATAAAAGGAAGGTTAATGTGATTATGCATGCAAATACATGTCTACTTACATGCATTAACAAGTGTTAGCCATTTATACAGAGGAAAGGCCAGGGAGATAGTTCAGTGGAATAAGTGCTTGCCTGGCAAGTGCAAGGTCCTGAGTTTGATCCCTGGTACTGCAAAAAAATTATATATATATATATATGGCTGGGGTTGGGGAGCCAGCCTCACAGAATACGGCAACCTCAGGGTTGGAAGGGACAGCCAAGAATTGCCCTCCACTTGCCCCTACCCCAAAGGAGCTGGAGCTACAGCCTGCCCTCACGTCCTGCTACATTCCCCCTTTCGCAGGATGGACGGGCCCGCTGCCTCAGCCACCGTGGTCAGCACCATACAATCCTGGCCCAGAACCTGTGAGTGAACCTTCCCAAGAGCCCATGGTGGGGAGGAGCATGGAGTGAAGGGGATCAGGACTCCAAGGGCATCATTTAAGTGGCTCCCAAACCTCCAGCCCCTATAGCTGTCTTGTCCCGCCCCTTCTGTCCCCTATAGCTGTCTCCAAGCCAGCCCTCTCCAAGGCCCCCTCTCGAAGAAAGAAGAAGAACCGAAGAGGCCCTGTAATCCAAATCACTGAAATGTCAGAGAAGTATCTGTCTCAGGAGTCGGAGGCCTCAGAGTAAGACAGCTGGACTCCAAAAGCCCCAGGACACTCTGACTGAAGCGGGAGGGATTTAAACTAGACTCAGAAAAGTATCCAGGAACCTCCCGGTTGGGAGGGGAGACAAAACCTGATATGACCTGAGAGGACACGGGCTCCAGACTGGGCCTGCTCTTTTGTGGATAGTCCAAGTGCAAGCTAAGTGCCAGTGGCTCCACTGTGGCATCATTGTCTCAGTCCCCTCTTCTAACCTGCTGGTCACAGGTCTTCTGGGCTGGGTAAACTGAAACTTGGAGAGTCAGTTTGCATCTGCTTCCCCACTCCTCTGAGGCTCTTCCTCCAACATAGAGCTCTCACCAAGGTGCTTCAACTCTTTTGCCCAACACTTGCCCTAAACTCCTCTCTCAAGCCTTGCCTTGCCTTTGCCTCAGAACTGAGGCTGGTGCCTGTGCTGTGCCCAGGCTGTGGAGGGCTAGGAGGACACTTGGCCCCATCTTGTATCTGGACTGCCAAAGGGACTGGTGCTGAGGCCCTTGCCTGCCCACACTTGGGCTCCCCAGACACCTGACAGTATTAGGGAATAAGGGGAGGAGGGGCCCTGGCCACTTGAGACCTGGGCCTCGACCTGAGATCAGCCTGGACACCAGCACCCTGCTGTCCTCCTGTGGGCCTCCCCAAAGTTGCAGTCAGAACCAGGCAGGCACCTCCAGCCAGCCCCCCACCTCTCCAGAAGCTACTCCCACATGGTCACCTCCCTGCACTTCTGGAATTAATGTGCCCCCAGCCCAGGCCTCTCCTGGGCTTGACCACCAGCTCTGATGTACCAGGCTCTGCAGACCCCTAGCCGATCCTTGTGATGAAACCCCAGTCCGTTTTCCCTGACTTCCACTTCTCAGGACCCTGCTCTCCTCTGCACTGGGTCAAATAGCCTGGCCTTCTGCTCTCTGCATTCCCTGGGTGCCCGGGGTGCCCTCCCTAAGGACTTACATCCTCTTCCTTCCTTCTGCTCTGGCCTCTCCCACTCCCCATGTCTGCTCTCCCCACCTGCAGCAGGCCATGAGGATAGCACAGTCTAGGCAGGTCGGGGAGCTTCTGAGCCCTGGTTTGCTGGGAAGCCTGGGTAATCTCCTTAAAAGGGCTTAACCAAAGAGAAAATTTCAAATCCACAGGAAGACCTGGGATTGGTAGGAATGATCCTGGTCCCCTCGCTGGGGTAGCCTTGCAGCGCCAACCTCAACTCCTCGAGCCACTGTCGTTCTTCCCTTTCCTCCTCCCCACTACCCCTTCCCTCGCCTCCTCTTTTAGCCTGTCTGATCCCTTCATCACATTTTCCAGGTCAGGGTGGCCTATGGCTTTGGCCTCACCTGATCCCCAAGGCCCGCCGGGCCTGTGAGGGGTGCTGGTGGGCCACCAACTCTCTCAGGCCAAAGGAAACTTGGCCAGGTATTCATCCCTGATGTTCCTAAAGGGGATGCTGATCACTGCTTTCTTCTCGGGCTATTTATTGGTTTCCAAGGGAGCAAATCCTCAGTGGGAATATGAGATATATAAAGTACATATTATTTTTTCATAACTTATGTGGCTTTTAACTTATTGTTTCCCTTCCTGTTTCTGCATGATCAGCGCTGTGTACTATCTGGACTTTAGCCAACACATATCCCAGCCACCCCACCTGACTGGGCAATGCCTCCCCCAACTCCCTGCCAAGGGATGAATAAAGTGTTGAGATTTTGTCCATGGATGAAACTGAGTATGTGTTTTTATCTTGTCTCTGGGGATAAGTCAGTCGCTGGTCCATCAGATTGAGCACAGGATGTCGTAGATTCCTCCCATCTCTTGTGGGGAGACTGAAGATCCCTACCCCGCTGTGTCCTTAGGTGTGACCCCCTGCTGGTTCTAGGAGCCACAGTGACACAAGACAATGTCTCAACAGAGAGGTCTGGGCTAGGGGAAGCCAATTCCAGGGAAGCCCCACCAGATAAATGAAGGGTGGACAGTAGGTGGCAGATGAGCGCAGCGTTAGTAAGTTTTGTATGCTGCTCCACTGCACCCCAACTCCCAGGCACTGGTAATAAGCGTTGTCTTCCTGCACTGTCCTGTGTCTTCAAAGGAGTGTGCCGGGTGCTACAGGAAGGCCGTGACCTCTACCCAGCCCTTCCTTCTTCCCCCTTGGAATCATCACCTTGCCAGGCCTGGGCATCTGGGGGCCTTAGACCTTTCACTCCTCCAGTCAGCACTGTGAAGTCCCCAGGCAGCCGCAGTAGTGACTGGGATTGAGTCTGCGTGGTCTTGGGCGCGTGCCTCTCAGGGTATGCAGTACCAGCCTCATCAATCTGTTGTGAAGCTTGAGAGATGACGCATGATGAGGGAATTTAGCCCCATGCCCGCACCTAGTAAGTGCTTATGACAACAAGGACAGCAAACGCGCTGACTCTGAGAACCTTCCCTCTAGCCCAGCAGAGCGGAAATCTGCCCCCTCCCTGCCTTAGGGGACCTGACTTTTGGCCCAACTTTACCTGTTCTCCTCTTCCCAAGGAGAGGCAAGGCTCAGATACAAGTTTGGGGAAAACAGGATTAGAGAGGTAAGGGAAGTGACCCCACCCTTCCTCTTCCCTCTGGAGTTGACTGCCCAGGCCACATTCCATTCAGGAAAGGTCAGCTCCTTTTCGCCAGCCTGCGCCACGCAGACCACTGCCCTCTGCTGGCAGTTATGACAGTAGCACTCCCCAGGCCAGCTAGCTTGCCTTCCTCTCTCCACAGAAGGGAAGAAAAGAGGTAGGGGAGGGGTTTCTAAATTCTAAACTTAAGACTCTGGTTCCCTCGCACTTGGCCCAAGTTTCAGGCCTCAGCTCTCAGACACCCCTAGGGCTGAGCCCTCCTTCTCACTCTATCCCACATCCCTTTCCCTAGGGGTCTGCCATAGCCCACTACCTCAGTCCCTGACCCCCACCCCAGATCTGGTCCCTCACTTTTCAGGTCTAGGTCAAATGTCAAGCCCTCCAGAGACCTCCCTAAGGTCCTAAGTAGCCCCACCTTCTCTGACATAAAACACAAGGAATCTTGCCTCAGTGATGTCAGAAATTAAAACTGAGGCAACAGCATGAGTTCACAAGCAAAAAGCTTTAACTAAGAAAGTAGGCAAAGGCAATACCTGGTTCCGCAAAAAAAAAAGAAAAGAAAAGAAAAGAAAAGAAAAGAAAAGAAAAGAAAAGAAAAAAGAAAGAAAGAAGGAAGGAAGGAAGGAAGGAAGGAAGGAAGGAAGGAAGGAAGGAAAGGGACTTGAGGGGAAGAGAGACAAAGGGGGCACAAGCCTAACAGAGAAGATCAGATTAGCCTATTAGCCAAAGAACAGGACTAGCTTTCATGGCTTCCCAGGGGAGAGCCAGGAGCCAGTAATTTTCCACCAAATCATGAATGCAACACTTTTCATTGTGTTTTTGGAGACTCCCACCCAGTAGGATATGGATTGAGGCCACCTCAACTTTGGAGACATCCTGCTGTGTGTGTCCTCCCTCCCCTTTTACTGTGGATCTGGTCCCTGTAATAAGGGGTGGGGGTTGGGGTGCTCAGTTCATACATGGTTAGCAAGGACAGATGGAGAAGAAACATATCGGCCCCTTCTATGGGTAACAGGTCATAGATTAAGGCCTAGGAACCTCTCATCTCTCACTCCTCACAACAGTCTGTCTCACCTCCTTCTGTCCCCTGCCCTGGCTGCGTGCTCTGCTATACTTGGCCAAGCCTGAGTGATACCCATTGATTCTTTTTTCCTGGGTACACCAGGTAGCATCCAATCAGTAAAGGAGAATCGAGTGGAGGAATACAGGATAGGAACTAGGAGCTGAAAGAGCAGAGGGAGATAGCTGCCAGGGCCTAGATTAGAAAGACAGGAGATGAGACCAGCCTTGGGCCAAAAGAGGAGGCCTGACCAGGAGCCAGGGCCAGGCAGAGCTGAGGGGCCTCAGACTTGGCTCTGGGACTTGGGGGGAGCAGGACTGGAGAAAATAAAAGTTTCTCCTTTGAAACAACTGGAATTTAAAGACTGGGTGATTGTTCTGGCAAACTGGCCCAGTCAGTGAACCACCAGGAGGCGGGCAGATGCACTGCATGGTGGCCAGGAGAGAGTGGAGGGGACACCTGCATGTCCCCTGCCAGGCCCTGTATTCAAAATCGACAGACTCTGCCCCTTCTCAACTGGCTTTCATACTCTTCCAATGTTTTTGAGGAGAGAAAACCTACTTAGTATGCCCTCACTAAGGTGCATGATTTTGGTGGGTGTCTCCATAGCCACTCAATTTCTACCCAAAACAGAGCCAGATTAAAATAAAAATAGAGCCAGAAGCTGGGTGTGGTGACACACACATGAAATTCCAGCATTCTGAAAGGCTGAGGCAAGAGGACTACAAGTTCAAGCCTAACCTGGGCAACTTAGCAACTTACCAACACCTTGTAGAAAGATAGATAGATAGATAGATAGATAGATAGATAGATAGATAGATAGATAGATAGATGATAGATGACTGAGGAATTAGCTCAGTGTAAAGGCTCTGTGTTCAAGGGGTTCAAGGCCCAGGCTTCTGCCCCCTCCCCTCTCCCAGCCCCCCCACTCCATCCCCTTAGTCCCAGCATGGTGCAGCTGCACCATTGAAGCCAACACCTCATGTCCTGAGCTCCCAACATAAAGGGAGGGAGTTACCACAGGCCACACTCGGCACTCACTGGAGAAGCATTTAGTGATCCTGCCACGGGCCAGGCACACTCTTGGCCCTGGGGACACCACGGTGAAAATATCTGCCCAAATCCCTGCTGTCGTGGGGAGAGACAGACCAGAAAGAAGTGGAGAAGTGTAAAGATTCAGTCAGCCAGATGGCCAGAAGCGCCGAGAAGAAGAGAAAACTAAAGCAGGACAATCTGCGGGAAATGGCCAAGAGCAGGGCTGATTCCCAGGGAGGCCGGGAAAGGCTCCCGGGAGCCTGGGCAGCAGTGACCGGAAGGAGGCGGCCTGGGGAAGAGTGGCCGGGCAGAGCAGAGGGCAAGAGCAAAGGCCTGAGAGCTTTGGGAGGCAGGAGGGGGAGGGAGGCCACCCGCGGGGTCCAGGATGTTCTCGGCTGATGGAGACCACTACGGGACGGCTCTGCTCAGGATTTAGTACTAGCCAACTGGCATCTCATGTGAGTTTGCCTGAGGCTTAGGCCCTTGTCTGGAGAGGGGAGGCAGACTCATAGTAAGTGACCTCTGTGAGTCCCCACTGAGACCTATATTGTCCGGTGAAGTTGGGAAGCCTCAAAGGACAAGATAAGGCCACAGCTAAGGACATTTGGCTCAACCACAATTAACTAAGAGGAGACTACAGCTGCAGACTTCTCAGTCCTGGTGAAGGCCTTCCAGGAGGTCACATAGTTTTCCTTGAAGGCATTTCTGAGTTCTGCCCAGATTCCTGCCTTTTCTTCAGCAGGAAAAATTTGTTTGAAAAGCTAATAAACACAGGCTGTCCAGAGAAGTTCTTCATTCTGAATGCCAGAAAATATCTGTGAGAGGGTTAGCATCCTCCTGGGCCCTGAAATCATACCATTTGCCTCATTTATTTAGGCCATCACTGTCCCACCTCTGGGCGTTTGCGGGCCTGATCAGTCCACAGTAACTAAGGGACATTATTAACCCGACACCCTGCCAGACTTCATCTTCCACTGAAAGAGAGGTCTCAGGTCGAGAAGAAGAGAGACCCGAGGAGGTCAGACACAGCCACCCAGGGGTGTCTGGAATCTTCTCAACCTGAATTTGACAAGCAATAGAAGAGAGAAAGGGCCCTTTCTGCCCACCTGGTTTTGTCCCATAATTTCTGTTTCGAAGAAATGAAAGGAAGTAGTAATTTTCACTGTCAGTAGGGCACCCCCAGAATGTCTGCTCCCTGAGGCAGTGCCGCCACTGCATGTGACTTGCTTATCGCCACATCACCTGCCCTGCAAAAGGACTGGCACCTCATGGTGCTCATTAAAACTCACTAAAAACAGATGCAGGAGCATCAGAGACGAAGACGGCACCACACCGCCCCATTTCCTAACAGGCAGAGCCAATGCCTAGGTCTGACCCAAAGTCAGATCCAGAGTCCTGGCCATCCCACCCACCCCACCACCATTGTCACACAGGGCCAGCTCACTCTGCTTCACCAACAGACATGCGGACTCCAGGGTCACCTAGGACCTCAAATTACCAACCCAGAGCCCTCTCGGGGAAGTGGCTGCCCTGGGGCTCTCTCTCTCTCTCTGGGAAGGATGTGGAAGCAAGGTGTGTGTGTCGCATAAACACACACGTGGATGTGCACCTGTGTTTCAACTTGCCTCAGACTCCTGTCCAGGCCTGTGCTGCAGCTCCCCACATCTGCAGTCTCCGAGCGCCCCCTGCTGACCACTATCCCATGTACCCTACCTCGGGTTAGAGCAATCCCAAGGGCAATTGCTGGAGTTAAGGCTCTGTGGGCTACAAAGTGAGCTCAAGGCATAGCAAGACCCTGTATCAAACACACACACACACACACCACACACACACACACACACACACAGGAAATGTAGTTAGGCTTTGGCCTCAGCCCTCTCCCAGCTGCTGTGACCCACAGAAGACACTGAGCATTCCCACCTGGGGCCTCCTCATCCCTCTGTTCCCCCTCAGGACAGGGAGGATTGCTTGGCACATAGATATGCAGACAGAGATAGACTTAGCTGCCCCCTGCAGGCTC